AATAATAATAATAATAATAATAATAATAATAATAATAATAATAATAATAATAATAATAATAATAATAATAATAATAGATGTGATAACAAATGAGCCACAGATATGTTTGCCAATTGAAATCTTTTTAATAGCGGGCTTAAATATGAATTTCCTGAAATGTTTTTACAGCTTTTATATCTATCTAATACAACGCAAAACTTAGAACCTGATTAGCAAACTACCAAAATAGCCGAAAAATGAGGTAATTATGGAAGTTAGATGGAAGTGCGTGTTTTCAAACTTTTGAATAAATCATATTTTAATGGTGAAAAAATATATCCAAATAGCGAGCGTTATTGGTTAAGTATAAACCTCATAATGAAAAATTTAACACAAGCCTTCAACATTCTATGGCAGGTAGATAAATATACTAATACATATGTTTTTTTTTTGCTTAAAATTTAAAATTTCTACACCCATTAACTTGCAGTTAATTTAAAGCTAGATACCGCCTTTTGGTTAAATTAATTAATTAGAGACAGGTAAACATATTATTTATGGATGCTAATTATGATTTTTTTCTTGAATTAGCCATTTAGATATTATTTGTGCTGTCTTAAACTAAGGACATATAGTAGTAACATATTTAAATTTTTATTCGTTTTATTCCGATTATTTGTTTTTATTCGAATTACTCTTTATTCCGTTTATTCGTTTTATTCAAATTACTTGTTTTGATGGCTTAATTCAAATTACTCGTTTTATTCAAATTATTCGTTTTATTGAATCATTCTATTGTTTAAGCACGACTTTTGTTGTTGTTGTTCATGATTAAAATCATAAATTAATTTATCATGAATATGATTATCATTGCTGATTTGGTAGGCAGCACCGAATATTCGAATATTCACACGTGTAACCGAATATTCATTGAAATAATAATAATAATAAAATAATAATATTCGAATATTCATGTGTCGAATGTTCATTCAAATGATTAACATCACCAATCATCTTTCTCAGTATTAGTTTATTTTCCTATTGTTATTATTATCGGAGAATATCGAATGAATGAATGAATAAATACAATACCAATGATTGATTCTTTGATCAACACTTCTAGAACAGCAATACAAATAATCGGGATATTTATTAACATGTAAAAAAAAAAAATCAAAAAAGAATATAATTTATTTGACTTTTCACAAATAATATACCAATTAGACCATTTTTATTCAAATTTCTAATCTTTCATTTATTACAACTGGTGTACCTTATTATCAGCTCCTTCTTTGTTGCCGAATTTATGTCTCTAGTTTGCCCTATTGTAGCACTTATAACCATCAAATGCCCTATTTTGTCCATTTTTAACCATTTCATTTATTCTAACTGCAATTTGCCTCAAACTACTCTTTTTCATCCGTTTCTTTTTTTCAGGTGAGGTGGAAAGCGTAGACATGATTAAGTCACGAAGTCCTTCAACATCCAATATATTATTATTGTGTCACAAAATCATGTTTACCATACATAGCTTTAAATTTCAACTGTCCTAATAATTCAGTAATAATTTCATTGTGAGTCAATGATTTTCTCGTTTTTGTTACAAGAAATAAACATTCTGTTGTATCTTTAGTTTCTTCCAATTATAAATTTTTTTATAATGAAAAGGAAAAAAACAAATCATTTAATTGTAGTACTAATATATATGGAATAAATTGATTGATAAAAACTACTTCTTTCAATTGTATCGAATTGATCTTGACATGATAATGTTGAACACCAAATTTTTCATTAATAACAAATTCGACCATTTTATTGAGCAGTTTTATTGTTGCACAATTGGTGTAGTGTATGTGTAATGAGAAAGACCCACAGGGTGAGTTTGACCTTGAAACTATGAAGATCTGTATGAAACGAGTGGTCAGAAGATGACATTTTCCGAAAGGCAAACCATTCATCCATGATGTCAAATGAATGATTTGCCTTTCGGAAATAAGTGATCGATGATGATTAATTTATATATATAATTTCAATTAATGCTTACAAACAAATTTGGTGTTATGACCCTGTTAAAGATCTATATAAATTTACATGATTAATTGAATAATTTAATACCGAAAAACAACGTAATAATTCATTTACCATTAGTAGAAGAAGATGAAGGACGATATAGGTTAGTGGGTGACTCTTTGATACATCCTTGTTGGGATGTTCACATTCTAAACATTTTATTCCAAACAAATTTTTTTTGCATGCTAGTGATTCACCATTAGAGAAACACATGCATATATAGTTATGTTGATCATTTGATATTAATATTTTTAATTAAACCATCTTGGTTTGTTGCAATTATAATATGCAGAATTTCCAACGTAATTGGAAAATTTCGATTTCGATTTTGATAATCACGGATACATGTGGGTAAAGCCCAGTGACACTCGATCATCACGCGGCGGCAACCAATCAATTACACGTATCGCAATTTTATTCATAATTGTAATGGGACCGGAAAACTCTATTGAATGTCTCCTTTCCTCTTTTTTAAGGTACCTTCGAATCATAGTGTCGGTCCTATTGTAATAATATGATAATTGCGTGATGATCAAGTGTCGTTGGGTTTCACCCACATGTATAGTCCAATCGAAACTAAATTTGAAATTTGAAATTTGAAATTCTAAATTAAAAAAAAATATATTGCTTTTAAATTATGTCAGGCAATTTTGATTTTCGGTGTCTTTATTTGTCAAATTTTAGAGTTCTGGGAGACCTTCTGGCATTATTTGGACACATTTAATAATGATACAGAGGCGAATATGATTCCACCCGTATATGTTGTAATGATAATGGAATAAAAGGAAGTCTGTAATAAAACAATTTTATTTTACATAAATATCAAAATGATGGTTTTTTGGATGAAATAGGTTCTTTGAAAACTTCTAATTCTTCAAATGTTCTAGGGACAAGGAGTTTGTCTAACAATCAAAGGAAAAAAATCAATAATCAAAAGGATTGAATGATTTTTGTTTTGAATTTACTTGACTTTGAATTTAAATTACTATTAGACTTTCAAATTAGATTAGTTTTGATTTCGATTTTGAATTTCGCTAATACTAGTACTAGTACTAGGGACTTTTTGATTAAATAGTTTTTCGAAAGTTTCGAATTTTATTATCATGTGATTATCATGTGACCTTCAAATGAAGGTTTTAAATTTTCGATTCTAATTTATTTGATTTTGATTTGCCTATGTCAAAATAAATAAATAAATATATACAATGTGTAATTCGTCATCTTTTATACTGATATAACAAATAAAATAAACAAAAGTCTATAAATTTAAATAGTTACAAAAAAAAAAAATAAATATATAAAGGAAAACGTCTTTAATCATGATTTCTTCTTCTATGCGTACTACCACCACCTTTCTTAAAATGAATAGTACGAGCTATAAATATGATTAAAATTAATCAATCAATCATAAATAAAATCCTATCCGATATATTCGAAAAAGAAGTATAAATATTTAACTTACCTTGTTTACGAACTTTTTCATGTTTTGTTTGAACTGTTTTAAAATGCGTTAACAAATCTTGAAACTTAATTCCTTCACCTCTTGATGATAATAATTTACTAATTGATTTTTTTGAATCGTTTGGACTTGATTTTGTTAAATAAAAAAAATATTTTAAAAAGATTAATTGATTATGTTCTGATACTTTTTTAATGATATACTGTATATATATGTGTGTGTGTGTGTATGTATATATATATATATATATATAACCTTTTTGGTATCAAATGTAAAAATCCCATAGAACTGACACTTGTCAATCTATTTTTTAAACTTGCAAATGCACTACTTTGTGGTAATAACATCAATAATCCATATAAACATTTTACCAAATGTGGGTATTTGTCTGGTTCAAGTAGTTGTAATCTGAGATCTAAATAAAAAAATAAATGCTACCGATTAACAACAAATCAAATTGCCTTCAATCAATTGTCAAATAAAAGTAAATTAAGACTTCTTTTTTGGATAATTACAGGTGAAAACCGGCGATTCCAATAGTTGAACAAGTTTATCAACTTGAATCAACAAATTGACTGTGATTTCTATTTCAGCACTAAAATAAATAAATGTGTAAACAAGCAAGTATCATAAATACTGTAAAATGTAATAATAAATAAGAATTGAAAAATACAAAAGTTGCAAAAGATTTGAAGCGTGTTCATAAGCTTGAGCTAATAAACAAAGTGAAAATGTTGCAACTGGATTATGACACCATGATTTATACAATGCTGTAAACAGCACTTGTCCGTCCTTTGCCTCTAAGTTTTTTAATCTTCTTCTTAAATCTAAAAGTTCTGGCGACGTTATAAGTATACTGTTGAGATTTTGTACCATATTTGAAGCAAATTCTATGTCCTGCAATTTTAAAAAAAATTTTTTTCTAAATAAATATTCATATATAGATAGATGAAAGTATGTAAAAACTTTTTAACCTCTTCTTTTTCCAAAATCTCAGCAAAGCTCATAACCTCTTCTTTTTCCAAAATCTCAGCAAAGCTCAATGCCCTATTTTGTCCATTTTTAACCATTTCATTTATTCTAACTGCAATTTGCCTCAAACTACTCTTTTTCATCCGTTTCTTTTTTTCAGGTGAGGTGGAAAGCGTAGACATGATTAAGTCACGAAGTCCTTCAACATCCAATATATTATTATTGTGTCACAAAATCATGTTTACCATACATAGCTTTAAATTTCAACTGTCCTAATAATTCAGTAATAATTTCATTGTGAGTCAATGATTTTCTCGTTTTTGTTACAAGAAATAAACATTCTGTTGTATCTTTAGTTTCTTCCAATTATAAATTTTTTTATAATGAAAAGGAAAAAAACAAATCATTTAATTGTAGTACTAATATATATGGAATAAATTGATTGATAAAAACTACTTCTTTCAATTGTATCGAATTGATCTTGACATGATAATGTTGAACACCAAATTTTTCATTAATAACAAATTCGACCATTTTATTGAGCAGTTTTATTGTTGCACAATTGGTGTAGTGTATGTGTAATGAGAAAGACCCACAGGGTGAGTTTGACCTTGAAACTATGAAGATCTGTATGAAACGAGTGGTCAGAAGATGACATTTTCCGAAAGGCAAACCATTCATCCATGATGTCAAATGAATGATTTGCCTTTCGGAAATAAGTGATCGATGATGATTAATTTATATATATAATTTCAATTAATGCTTACAAACAAATTTGGTGTTATGACCCTGTTAAAGATCTATATAAATTTACATGATTAATTGAATAATTTAATACCGAAAAACAACGTAATAATTCATTTACCATTAGTAGAAGAAGATGAAGGACGATATAGGTTAGTGGGTGACTCTTTGATACATCCTTGTTGGGATGTTCACATTCTAAACATTTTATTCCAAACAAATTTTTTTTGCATGCTAGTGATTCACCATTAGAGAAACACATGCATATATAGTTATGTTGATCATTTGATATTAATATTTTTAATTAAACCATCTTGGTTTGTTGCAATTATAATATGCAGAATTTCCAACGTAATTGGAAAATTTCGATTTCGATTTTGATAATCACGGATACATGTGGGTAAAGCCCAGTGACACTCGATCATCACGCGGCGGCAACCAATCAATTACACGTATCGCAATTTTATTCATAATTGTAATGGGACCGGAAAACTCTATTGAATGTCTCCTTTCCTCTTTTTTAAGGTACCTTCGAATCATAGTGTCGGTCCTATTGTAATAATATGATAATTGCGTGATGATCAAGTGTCGTTGGGTTTCACCCACATGTATAGTCCAATCGAAACTAAATTTGAAATTTGAAATTTGAAATTCTAAATTAAAAAAAAATATATTGCTTTTAAATTATGTCAGGCAATTTTGATTTTCGGTGTCTTTATTTGTCAAATTTTAGAGTTCTGGGAGACCTTCTGGCATTATTTGGACACATTTAATAATGATACAGAGGCGAATATGATTCCACCCGTATATGTTGTAATGATAATGGAATAAAAGGAAGTCTGTAATAAAACAATTTTATTTTACATAAATATCAAAATGATGGTTTTTTGGATGAAATAGGTTCTTTGAAAACTTCTAATTCTTCAAATGTTCTAGGGACAAGGAGTTTGTCTAACAATCAAAGGAAAAAAATCAATAATCAAAAGGATTGAATGATTTTTGTTTTGAATTTACTTGACTTTGAATTTAAATTACTATTAGACTTTCAAATTAGATTAGTTTTGATTTCGATTTTGAATTTCGCTAATACTAGTACTAGTACTAGGGACTTTTTGATTAAATAGTTTTTCGAAAGTTTCGAATTTTATTATCATGTGATTATCATGTGACCTTCAAATGAAGGTTTTAAATTTTCGATTCTAATTTATTTGATTTTGATTTGCCTATGTCAAAATAAATAAATAAATATATACAATGTGTAATTCGTCATCTTTTATACTGATATAACAAATAAAATAAACAAAAGTCTATAAATTTAAATAGTTACAAAAAAAAAAAATAAATATATAAAGGAAAACGTCTTTAATCATGATTTCTTCTTCTATGCGTACTACCACCACCTTTCTTAAAATGAATAGTACGAGCTATAAATATGATTAAAATTAATCAATCAATCATAAATAAAATCCTATCCGATATATTCGAAAAAGAAGTATAAATATTTAACTTACCTTGTTTACGAACTTTTTCATGTTTTGTTTGAACTGTTTTAAAATGCGTTAACAAATCTTGAAACTTAATTCCTTCACCTCTTGATGATAATAATTTACTAATTGATTTTTTTGAATCGTTTGGACTTGATTTTGTTAAATAAAAAAAATATTTTAAAAAGATTAATTGATTATGTTCTGATACTTTTTTAATGATATACTGTATATATATGTGTGTGTGTGTGTATGTATATATATATATATATATATAACCTTTTTGGTATCAAATGTAAAAATCCCATAGAACTGACACTTGTCAATCTATTTTTTAAACTTGCAAATGCACTACTTTGTGGTAATAACATCAATAATCCATATAAACATTTTACCAAATGTGGGTATTTGTCTGGTTCAAGTAGTTGTAATCTGAGATCTAAATAAAAAAATAAATGCTACCGATTAACAACAAATCAAATTGCCTTCAATCAATTGTCAAATAAAAGTAAATTAAGACTTCTTTTTTGGATAATTACAGGTGAAAACCGGCGATTCCAATAGTTGAACAAGTTTATCAACTTGAATCAACAAATTGACTGTGATTTCTATTTCAGCACTAAAATAAATAAATGTGTAAACAAGCAAGTATCATAAATACTGTAAAATGTAATAATAAATAAGAATTGAAAAATACAAAAGTTGCAAAAGATTTGAAGCGTGTTCATAAGCTTGAGCTAATAAACAAAGTGAAAATGTTGCAACTGGATTATGACACCATGATTTATACAATGCTGTAAACAGCACTTGTCCGTCCTTTGCCTCTAAGTTTTTTAATCTTCTTCTTAAATCTAAAAGTTCTGGCGACGTTATAAGTATACTGTTGAGATTTTGTACCATATTTGAAGCAAATTCTATGTCCTGCAATTTTAAAAAAAATTTTTTTCTAAATAAATATTCATATATAGATAGATGAAAGTATGTAAAAACTTTTTAACCTCTTCTTTTTCCAAAATCTCAGCAAAGCTCATGTATATCCTTTCTGGATTAAGACTTAAACATAAATGCCGAATAATCAGACTTCCTCTGTTTTCTAATAGTTTGCGATCAGTAGCAAACAGTTTCAATAAATCGATCATAAATCTTGTAAAATATTCATCTTCGGAACTTGAGGATAATTGTGCAAGCAGCTGAAGATCACGCTTTGCAACTTCCTCTGATGGATCTGAAAGAAGTTTTAATAGATCTGGAAAATACCCATCATCAAAGGCAAGTATCTATAAATTAAATAATTCAAATTGTTTGTTGGAAAAATTTTTTTTAATTTATTTTTATATTAATTAATTAAATTTTTTTTTTAAATAATAAAAATAAAAAACCTTTTTTTTTGGTGCTTTTTTATGAAGCATTATCAACAAGTCCAAACTTGCAATTCTTGTTTCTTCGTGGTCGTTGGTAAATTGATGCACCAATGATCTAACTGTCGAATGATAATCAAAAGGATCGACTTCCTCCTTTATTAAAGGCAAGGTATTTACAACATTATTTGATTCAATCTTTACATCTACATTGGTTGATTTTGAAAGTTTGTTATGTGAACTTGTTGACAACTGGGTATTATCACCATTATCATCATTATTATCGATATTGCTGTTGCTGTTGCTGTTGCTGTCATGGTCCATTGTAAGAGTTGAATGTAAGATGGAGGAAGTGTTGGTAAAATTTAGTGTTTCTAAAATCGTTTTATGAAGGTTTTGGTTCAAATCTATAGCACAGTTCCTAATTTGTATAATATTAATAATAATATGTTAAAGGAGTTATACTTTAATGTTCTGAAGAAAGCAAGCAAATAAACGAATATTTGTTTGTTTACGAGTACACATGTATAAACTGTGTATATTGGCATGAAAGGATATTTGGAACTGAGTGAGCTAAAGAAGGTAATACAGCATTTATTAATTGAGGTGTAAAGCTGATGACCACTTCTTTAGCAATATTAATAAATTCATTTATCCATCTCAATGCTGTTTCTTGAATCTGTTCAACTATAAATTAATATAATGTATATTAAATTATCTATAGTCCAACGAAAACTATTTCAAACAAAATACGTTCTTATCGTTTTATAATACCTGATGAACTTAAATGTGGCATTAAAATTTCAATAATTTTGGTAAAATTGATTTCTACACTTTGACCAGGGATCCAAGTTCCTTTACCTTTACCCTCCATCTCACTTATAGATATAGAATCCCAAAAGGCATCTCCAGCATCAACTGATTTAACCAAATTAGGATTATCATCGTCAATGCAGCCACCATCTTTCAAGCTATCACTTGTTTCATTATTATTTTCTGATAAATTTGCAAATTTTCGTTGTTGTTCAACATAAAAAATTTTCATAGCTTGTTGTTTTTGCTGTTCTTTAACTTCAACAGCTTCGCGTATTTCTGTCAAAAAACTTGCTAAAGCATTGGAAGTTGCGGCGCACACGGCTTCATTTGGATCACTCAAAAAACTTATTAATCCGTCCAAAAAGTCTGGCAAAAAAGAAACCAATTCAAGATCTGGTATTGAGTCTAAGACCGTAATCCACGAAACCAAAAATAATCGTGTAAATGGATTTTTAACACGGATACGTTCAGCCAACAATGGAATAAATTTTGGTAACGAAAATGCTGTTGTTCTTGGAATTGCCATTGGGTCTGTTGAAAAATCTTGTTCGTCATTTGAAACGAGATTTTGGGAGTTTAAAACTGAAACATACGTGGTTGACTGTTCTGCTGCAATATCTTTAATTAACCTATCCAATAATTCTGTTCCGTTTTTCACTGATAAGTCAGAATCTGCCGCTAACTATAAACGGAATATATATATATATATATGTATATATGGAATATAATCTAGCAAAATCAATGTCTGAGACTCAATAAATTAGCTTATTAAATCAACCTTCGAATTTATTAATAAGTCTCGGACCTGATTTTGTTAGAATAACTCCCATATATTCATTTTAAGGTAGATAATTAGATATGAGGTAATGATAATTTAATTTACAAAAAAATTTTTCTTTACCTTACTCATTACATCAAAGACATCATTAAAATATCTTAAAATTTCGCCTTTAGAAACTTTTGCAATATTATACATACTTTCACATGCATAATATCTTACACGCGATTCTTGGTCAGTAAAGCAAGAAAGAACTGGCGTAGCAATATCATCTAAATAGACAGCTACATCCTATTTTTTTAAAAAAATAAATAAATGGTAATAATAATCATTATAATATTGAACTCATCAAAGGACATGAAACATACTGGTCCTAAAGCGATTGCTGCAGCTGCTAAACCTATTAGGCCTCCATTACGTGAATTTGGATTCGCAGAATTAACAAAATCTTGAGCGAGTTTTTCAATAATACTTCTAATTTTTTCCACACTATTAGAGGCTAAATGCGTTCTAATTAGCCTATTAAATATATATATAAATATAAAAGTAAAATGTTTTATGCATGTTAAATTCCAAAATGAAATGTCATTCTTATTTTCTTAATATTAAAGTATAATTGAATTCATTTTTACCTACTTTTCTACTTCTAATGCAGCTGCCTTACGTTTCTCGTAAACTTTATCGCTTAAACCACGAGCTATTTGTACACTAAGAGCAGATGCTTCTGCCATAATTCTCGTTAACAATAAAGTTTGTTTCTAAAGTCTAAAAATGAATAAATTTTATTTTATTTTTATAATTCAAAGATTGGCATGATAAAAATTAATATTAATATATATGGTGTTTTTGTTACACACCTGATCAATTTATTATTTTTAGTATTAGTATTAATTTGCATAGATTTGCAAGATACTACCCAACTTGGAAGAAAATATCTGGACGCATCCTTCATAACAAAAACAAAAATTTTTTACATCAGTACGTTCTTATGGTTATGCAAACAAATTCCGATATAAAGTAAATAGTTCAATAACCTAAAGTGCTGATCTTTTTAAATCGAGAAATTTTATATACATTTCAGTTAGAAGTTTTTGTAGTTATGGGGCGTTTTTTAAAAGACGCTTTATTATAATCACAAAAATATTTTTTCATTTTCACTATTATTAATCATTATTATTATGTTATTATTAAACTATTTCCCGAAATATACTAAAATTTATCTTATTATTAAAATTTACTGTTTATATTCATGCGATTCTATATTTATTAAATTTCAAATAGTAAACATGCAACGATGCGTTTTTGTTTTTGTTGTTATATTTTTTAGACCAAAGAAACTCGTGAGAGGAAATGAAGTAATTAACATTCCAAAGAAAGAAAATATCATTACAGAACATTAATATTAATGAATCTAAAATAAATACACTCTTGATATAACGGATCATTTTATATTAATATAGAGAATCCCGTTTTATCGAGACGAAATTTATTATTATTATAATTAATAATAGTAAAGGCGAAAAAAAATTCCAATCCGAAATAGAACTTTTTGAAAACGGCCTTCCGTTTTCATAAAAGGAAATTTCTACGGACCTTTTTATTACACAATTTGTTATTTGCGATTCACTTATTGTTTATTATTTCTTGTTTCTTATTGCAATGCAATGCAAAAAAAGTCTTCGTCTACGAACTTTCTAAACTGAATTTTTTGTAAATCAAAAGGTAACAAACATTGTAATGAGCAATCGATTCTCCAAATTATTGAAAACAAACCATAACAAATTAATAATTTTCAGTATGGAAAATAAAAATGTCAAATACAGTTAAACCAAAACTGATGTTACAAAAAGATCTTTGGTTTAATAAATTCCCTTGGCTTATAGAGATAATTTTAATAGGTAGATAATTGGTTTATCATTTTATCAAGGCATTGTCTGTATAATGGTTCCAATGAATATGAAAAAAGCAATCGATTTTTAGTAAAGAAGCGAATGTTCTAGTTAAAAAAATTTTAAAATTATATAACAAGTAAAATTTTTAAAATTTCACCAATAACAAGATTCATATTTTTATTTTCTAGGAATAAGTTTCAGCTTTAGTTCATCACAATGTCTTGTCAACCCAAAATGAGATTTCAAAGGTGCTGAATAATCAATCAATTCAACATTAAATTTTCCAAATAATAAAACCATAAAAGTTTTAAGTTCTGTCATTGCTAGATTTCGACCTGGGCACATTCTCAATCCACCTCCAAACATATTAAAAGAATTCTTTTGGATTTTACCATCATCATCATCATCATCACCATTTTTGTTGTTGTTTGTTGATGATAAAAATCTTTCAGGATTAAATTTTTCAGGATCCTTCCAATGCAATTTATTCATATTAATTCCTTGAGCATTTATCATTAAAATTGTTGAACCTTCAAATTTATGTCCATCTATTTCATCAGAATGTTCTGCCATTCTAAAAATCACTGGTGCTACTGTTAAGTGACGTGAAACTATTTATTTGGAAAATATTAATTAATACTGAATTTTTTTGATTAATTGAAAAAAAATAAATTTTGTCTTTTTTAAAACCTTCTTTAATCACAGCTTCACAATAATGTAATTTATGCAAATCTTCAAAGTTAATGTCAGAATTTAAATCAAAGATTTTTTGAATTTCTTCAACAATATGCTGTTTTACTTCAGGATTGTGACAAACAGTAAATAATGAAACAGATTGCACTTGAAGTCTAAAATTTTGAAAATTTAATTATTATTATAATTCAATGATTCAATGATTCAATGATTCACCACAAATATTATCTGCTTACTGTGTTAATTCCACCTAAAATAGCTTCCAAAATATTTCCACATATGTCTTCATCAGCCATTGGTTCAGGATGTTGATCATCATTTTGTGATTTATCACGTGGTGTATTAAATGTTAACATCAAGGTCAACATATCAGGAGTCAATTCTTGACCAATTGGTGATTTTTCAATTTCATTTCTACGTTCTTTAATCAAATTTGACAGGTAATGCTTCCTCATCCAGTCAAAACTGTAAAGGATTTTTTTGGCAGAGCTATTGTAGTTTGGCAAAACATGTAAAAATGTAGGTACCATCAAAAAGAATTCCATTCCTTCAATCATAGTTCTAACATGATGAATTAGGCTTTCTTGTTCAGAATTTTTTTCAGTTGCACACAAAACTTTATGATAATTATTTAGAGTGTCAAATTTTTTATTTGTTGTTGTCAATAAAATTGCCTCGGCAAAAAATCTTGGAGCCCAATCTGTCATATTGATTTCACCATTTTGTTGACCCAAATCCTTCCAATATTTTTCCATTTCCAAAAATAATGATTGAGTGATCTTTACACTTTGTCTGACAAAACTTGGTGCTAAGATGGCTTTTGAGAAAAATCTTTGATTATAACTCCATTTATTGTAATTATTATTGAATAATAAACCTTTAGAAGTCATGTCCAATATATCCAATCCTTTGTTTGGAGTTGTACGCTTATTATAATTACCAAATGAAGGTTTAAAAACTTTATCAACATATTCAGCTCTACCTAACCAAATGGCTCTTTCTCCACCAATCCATACTTCGCCAATATCACCATATTTTGATTGAAGACCATTTACCCAAGCTGCCAAATCATTATATGAAATCAAATTACCAATTAATGGTAATGGTAAAGGACCTGGTAATTTATTTGAACGTTTAAAATATTTCACATAAAAATTTATCACATAACCAATGACAAGTAATAAACTTAAGAAAATAAAATCTTGAATTGAAAACGTTAACATAATTCAAATTAATAGAAAAAAATCAATCTATATATATTATTTAAGGGTGGAGTATACGTAACACGAATCTACTTGATCTACAATGGCTAAAAAAGTAAGTCACATATTAAAGACGAATAAAAAATAATAAAATTGTACAAATTTTATATCTTTGGAGGTGAGATCTATTATTATTATTATTATTATTATTATTATTATTATTATTATTATTATTATTATTATTATTACTATTATTAATTGTTAACTTGCATAAGTTATTTTAATTTTAGCCGTTGAAAATTTGTCTTTCATATGAATATTTGGTCAACTATTGAAATGTATATTAACTAATTCATGAATAACCTACCTGAAAAAGTTAATGCTATTCAAAATTTAACAATCTTAATTTATCATGACTTTATTCGGAGATGGAAGGGATGTTATCATCAATCGGGAAAGTGAAATAACAGAATTACAATAAAAGAAACAGGTTTTAGAAAGAAAGGGATTGGTTGATGTAAGCCACATCAAAAAAGTGCTTGCTAAGATCCCTTTTCATTCATTAATTAATTGGAAAAGTAATGGTTTATTGTTGTTGTTGTTGTTGTAATTGATCGAAAAAGTAATTGTTCGCTAAGATCTTCTTCATTAATTGATCAAAAAGGTAATAGTTCTTAAAATATAACGATTTTATCTCGGTATAATAGATAAGAATGCATTTTTTTCTTCATGACCAAAAAAAAAAAAGATAAATATTGATTTTTCTTTATTCTTGTAAATAATTTTTAAATTCATGTTGGTCTCAATACGGAAGATAGCGGAGAAAATCAAGCACAAGTTAAAAAGGCTGTCAAGAGAAAAAATGGAAAGGTATCAGGTATCATTGAAAGTGAAAAGGTTTTACGACCTCGGAAAGAAAATAAATACATTCATTGATCTCCGAGTCAATTTTTAACACAAAAAAAAATGAACATTTGCAATTTAACATCTCTCGAAAATAGAAAATTCCTTCCCCAAAAATCAAGTTTAACAAAAGTTGATATTCAACACCAACCATCAACATCATCAACATCAATATGTCATGTTGACTTCTCTCTTCCCTTCCCGGCATGATCAATAGAGAGTATTTATCACAACGCAACCAACTTCGTGAAACTGCAAATTCCTTTTTATAGATAAAATTATCAAAGAGACATTAAATCATTTTAAAAAAATCCAAAAAAATCGAAATTGAATGTTGCACCGGATTGATTTTGTCGCTTTCTTGCGTTAATTAAAAACAAAACCATGAATACATAGTTGAATCTTGATTTAGCGGATAGTTTGGGCAATTGGGGAAAATTCGTTAAACCGAGATATCCACTATATCGAGAAGATTTTTATTAAGGTTTTATGGAACCGTTCTTTGAACTTTATCCATAGAAACCGAGATTTTAATTAGTATCCGCTAAATCGATATTCACTGTGTATAAATAAACAATAACAATAATGTTCTGTAATGATATTTTCTTTCTTTGGAATATTAATTATTGCTCAATACCCTCTTACGAGTTTCATTGTTCTAAAAAATAAAAAAATATAACGAGAAAAACAAAACGTTTTTTGCATATTTATTATTTGAAATTTAATAAACATAGGTTTGATAAGAATCGTATGAATTTAATTAATAAGATAAATAGTAAAAAAATGAGCATGCGGACATTCTTTGTTTTCACACCGACTATTTATATTGTTTTAAAGCACTCAAATCAGTCACATGAATAGAAGTGAGTATAGGAAAATATTGTATGCTTGTCTGAAAAAAAAAATAGAAACGATATTTGATAGCTATTGTCTAGTTCTACAATCCATAGTCGAGATAAATTTTTAAAAATTATTAGCTCCAGAGTTATTAGCTTTTAAAATTTCAGATAGACTTTTAAATGTTTCAAATTTGGTAACATATAAAAACATATAAAAACACACTATTTTAAAGCCAATAATAATTCTGGAACCTATAGTTTTTTAAAAAATCATCTCAACGATGGATTGTAGAACTAATCAATATCTATCAATTATCGTCTCTATTTTTTTCAGATAAGCATTCGATATTTTTTTAATGATGCAAATTTTTTTGATACATCAATCTCAGTCCTATTTATATACTTTAAAGTTTCTTTGTTTCTTTTTTTGATAAATAATAATTTATCCTTTGTTTATTTGTTTAGTAGATTCAAATAGATTTTATTAGATCAAATAGTACACTACAGCAAATTTCGGAGAATCAATAATGTGAAAACACACATAATAAGTATACAAAAAAAATATATATTTAGTTATCGGGAAAACAGCACTATTAAGCTATTTTTGGTTGCTTTGTTATTTTAGGTACAAAATGACGTCAATATGATTGACGTACTATTTATACAACATTTCTATAAGATATAATTAAATCATATAATTAAACTTGATAAACAGTGACGTTTGAAAGAATAGCTTAATAGTGATGGCCTGATAATATCGATATTGGGCGTGCAATGGACAATTTCAGTGACATCCAGGATGTCATGATATTGGCCACTGCGCGCCCAATATCTTATACATAATGTAACAACAAAGTATAATAATAAGATTTAAAACCTAAAATGTCTTTTAAATATATAAAAAAATTTTATGAGAGATGTTACATAATAAGTGAAAGAAATAAAGATAAAACAAATAATATTTTTAAAAGTGACACCACTCACATACAATTAGCTATTTTTGATTATTCATATCATTCATATCATTCACATCATCCTCTAATTCCTTTCCTGTAATGTTAGAATACTCTTTACATTCTTTGATTGTTTTCTTCCATCGTTCTTCCAAGCGTTCAATAATTAATATGTTAGGAGGAGATCTCTGTTCATTTAAACTATTAAATTCCACAATAAGATTTTCTAATTGAGCAATCTGAGTCTCCCAAAAATTTTTAAGATTATTTAAACTTTGACTTATTGAGGAAACATTTTTTTGTAAAATTTTTGATTTTTTGGTCATTTGTTCTTGTCTTGTACTTAGAGTTTCATTGTAAAATTTTTGATTTTTTGGTCATTTGTTCTTGTCTTGTACTTAGAGTTTCATGTAATTTAACAGCTTTTTTTTCTTTATATTTAGCAATGCATAAAGTTGTCCCTCCTACTACCATTGTTCCTACTGCTTCCCCAAACATTGCTACTATTGCTACTACTCCTGCTGTTGAATATCCTGGTGCTATTACTATTGCTGCTGGAGGTACAGAAATTGTTAGACAAATTCCGCCTATAATAAAAGCGATTTTTGACCATTTATTTAAAAACTTTTTTTTAGATTCAGTATCGTTTAAGTTGTCGTATGTTGTAGGATCAATATTTTTCATCTTTTCAAAATCAAATTCTGCTAATTCATTATGAATCTTTATCATCCTATACTTGAGAGTTATAATTTTGGAGTTGGTTTCTTTTATTGCAATTTTATTAGTTGTAGCATCATTTAAAAGTCTATTCAAATAATTTAATATATCTTCTTTAGAAGCAGCTTTGTCACCACAATGTTTAATAAGGACCATTAAATCTCCACCAAATTTAGCCAATTCGTCAGATTGTTGAATTGTGCCATTAGCAATTGACTGGAATTCCTCTCTACGATTTTTAATCAACTCAATTTTGTTTTCAAAATATTTATTCTCAAAATCCAAAGTCACATTACAAGCATTTCTAAATAATTTGAATGTATTTTTAATTGGGAAAGATAAACTTTTTATTTTAGGAGGATCTGAAATTTCCTGTATCGTCATTTTTAATTTTTTAATTAAAGGATTTTTTTTTTTAGTTCTGTAAAAAACGATTAATATTAAATTTGTGGGAATTTGACCGATTTTGGAAATAATGACAAGTCATAGCCGTGTGCAACGTAAAGAAAGAAAATTTTTCTCATCTTCAAACAGTTATTAAAAAAAAAACACTACAAATTGGCTTTGATTGAATTAAAATAATATGAAAATATAATATTTTCTGATCTTGATGTTTTGCAAAAAACTATTGTTGGTCTACTTGAAGCTTTTCGACATTCAAAGAGTCACATATCAAAATTTCTGGCAGTAATGACGATGTTAAGAAATTAAACAAGTTAAATAGTAAGTTTAATGATTTAGTTGCTAGAATAGCCAATGAGCTTTTAAAAATGTCTATGAATTTGAAAGATTTCATAGAGTGCCAATGAATAACTTGTTGCAAACATTATTTAGTACCAAAATGTGGTAAAGAATTTGTGATTGACAAAAACATCATCGCTTTAAAAGATGATGTAATACTAGTATAACGAAACAATTATTCCAAATTTTCAAGGCCAATACATTTCCATTGCGAATTAAGTGATATCTAACATTGTAACCTATTTTAATCGGTTCCAACCTTTGATTCAGCAAAAGCTTTTATCAAAATTATATGTTACCTTGATTATAATCTGGATATTAACTCAAAATTGGATTTTTCAAAACATATGGGGGCGTGTGTGGTCAATAAATGTAATATTCCATATTTTAAGAACTTTTTTCAAACAATAGGACATATTTATATACAATAACATGTAAAGATATAATTATATCAAGTGACGATATGTTTTCCCAAAGCTTTAAATATATTATAATTATATATTACTTGTATGATTAATATTTATAATTATAAATATAAGTATAATATACCAATATATAATAATAATATATTATAATTATTACTCATTTAATCCCGTACTTGTAATAAAACAAATTATGTCAACTTCTTTCCATCATTCAATTTTTTTTGGAAACGAAGAAATAAAGCAAAAGTTTGATATAATGATTAACTTCGAGTGCACAGATATTTCACCTTACCTCTTCAAAGAGGATATACCCTCCATGTTTCGTATCAATTTTATCAAATTCTGCCTCAAGTTCTTCATCTAACTTCGTATTCATCCCAACAAGCTCGTGTCCTTTCTTGAACTGTTATATTTCTGAAACTGCTTGTACAGCTCGTCATAATAATAAATAAGATTAGGGAAATTACCAAATCTACTTGAGTCAACGAAACCATCCTGATAGGCGATTTAATGTGATAGAGGTGTAAAAACTTTCCAATATATATGTAAAGTGAAAACCGTTTTACGTAACACTAACAAATCTTTGAAATATCAGTAGCTTTGTAAGCTCGCATAATAGCAGGCTTATCTTTTGCAAAATGTGGATAGGGCTCAACTGTAGCTTTATCAATTTCAGTAAAACTTGTCAAAAATCTATGACAACAATTGAAACCAATATATTCGTATTCATATTCGTATGAAATATAATGTATCATATAGATTTAACGTTTCAAAAACAAAAAAATGTTAATTACCTTCTTAATCTGAGCTTTGTCTAGTTTTTCTGTCATGATTATTTATTAGGGAATAAAATTCTGTATCAATTTCATTGGCCAAATTATGCACACGAGTTGTTGGCTTTAGGATTATTTTTAGTTTCGTAATGGATTTAAAAACACATCTGATACTTTATTTAAATGATAATGTAATGACAAAGCATTATAATAAAATTTAAAATCCTAAAATATATCTTCTAAATTTCCAAATGAAATTTCTGAGATGTCACATAAAATCAAGCGTGATAAGAGAAGGAAATAAAGATAAAACAAATATATAATATTTTTTAAAGACGATCTAATTCATATCTTGTGACATTAGAGTAATGTTTACATTCTTTAATTGTTTTCTTCCATCGGTTTTCCAAACATTTGATTATTGATCTGTTAGGATGAGGTCTATTATTCTCACTTAAACTTTTTAATGTCTCAATAAGCCTTTCTAATTCAACAATATGTTTCTCCCAGAATCCTTTAAGCTCATTTAAAAATGTAATTATCGAGAAAACATTATTTTTTAAAGTTTTTGATTTATCAGTCATTTGTACAGGTTCCCGTAATATGGCAACTTCTTTTCCTTTACTTTCAGCAATGTACGAGGTGGTTACTCCTGCCCCTATTCCTGATACTCCTACTACTCCTGCTCCTACTGCTACTTTTGCTCCTACTGCTGCTGATGCTAATCTCGTCACTACTATTGCTCCAGGTATGATGATAAATAGACCAATTCCACCTATCGTAAAAGCGGCTGTTGTCACTATATCTAAAAGTTTTTTTTTAGATTCAGCATCTTTTAAGTTATTGTATATTGTAGGATCAACCTTTTTCCCGAATTTTAATAATTCATCATGAATCTTTTTCATGTCATCTTCAAGAGTTTTAATTTTGAAGTTGGTATTTTCTATTGCAATCACATTAGTTTTAGCATCATTTAAAAGTTTATCCAATAAACCCAATATATCTTCGTTAGGAACCTCCTTATCACTATAATCTTTAAGGAGGACCATTATATCTCCACCAAATCCAACTAAATTGTCAGATTGCACAACTGTGTCGTTAGCAATTGAACGGAATGTCCCTCTACAATTTTTAATTTGCACAATTTTGTTTTCAAAATATTCATCCTTAAAATCCAAAGTCATATTACAAACATTTCCAAATAATATGAATGCCCTTTTAATTTGGTCAGATAAAATTTTTATGTTAGGAGGATTTGAAAGCTCGTTTATCGTCATTTTCAGGTTTTTTTTATAAAGGTAAAAAAAAGCATGGGAATTTTCGTTTTAAGAATTTAACGAAAATCTAGCCGATTTTGGAAGCAATGACAATGATAGTAATAGGGAATAGTGTGTGCAACATAAATAAGAAAATTTTTTATCATCATCAAACAGTCATTAAGAAGAAATACATCACATCAATGGCTTCGATTGAATTAAATCAATATAAAGATGTAATGTTTCCTAATCTTGATGTTTCGCAAAAGGCCATTGTTGATATACTTGAAGCTTTTCGACATTTAAAAGAATCACATATCAAAATTTCTGGCAGGAATAATGATGTCAAGAAATTAGATAAGTCAAGTAGTAAGTTTAATGATTTGGTTGTTAGAATAGCCAAAGGGTCTTTAAAAAAGTCAATGGATTTGGAGGATTTCACAGAATACTTTAAGATGCTTACAGAAGATAATGTTACTTCCAATGATTTGTTGCAAACATTATTAGTACTAAATGATATGGCAAAGCAGAGAATTAGTGACTCTGAGGAATTAAAAAATGACTTTGAACAATTTAAAACATCCATCGCTGAAAACATTAGTCAATCACCGAAAAGTTTTGGTGATAGTGATGTGGAGCTAGTACAACGAAATCATTTATTACAAATTACAGATGGTAGCCAACCTCCAAATTTTCTGAATGCATTAGCTCAATTTTTACCAGATGTTTTTATGCTTGTATTCACCCTTGTCTCAACACGTGTATTGAATTCTTTCTCAACAGATTCTTTGCCAATAATAGGTCAATCGCTAAAAGATAATATTAAACCCTCTATTTCTGCTTCAAATGTAAGGCAACTTTTTACCCAATCCTACCTATCCAGTGTTAATTTATCTTGTTTGAATCTTGTTATTATTTCTGGATATAGTATTTATAATCGTAAAAGTATATCCAGGAAATTAAAATATTTAATAATTGTTGCAAAAAGATACCATTTAACTGGATTCTATAAAAGGAACAATAACACTATTATGAATGATGAAAGGGAACAAAAAAAAATTCAGAAATATGAAGAAAAAATATCAACAAAATTGCCAGTAATTTTAACACATTTAGAGACATTGATACAATTTTGGAAGCAACAATATGGTATTTTTGAGTCACATATCAATGCGTTGCAATCGATGGATGGAAATGTGAATCTTAGGTTATCAAAAAATTTAACAGCTGGGATCATTGAAAGGTGTACAGCTGAAAAGATCAATTGTAAAGAATTTCATCAGATGTTAAATGATAGTGTTTTTAAAAATTCTTTTATCCGCTTAGATTAATCATATATATACATATTATTTGGCTGTGATCATAATAAATTTTTGTGTAAATTACCCAAGTTATTGATCGACCTGTTCATGTGCCTCATTAATCTTCTTTCAGGTGAAAACATATTACGGTAAACACGATAAAAAGAATTCGGGATTTTTCACAAAGGTCTATCTGCAGTGTTTTAATTTAAATTAAGGCAGACGCATAAATCAAAAGTTTGTTATACCAGAGAATATTTATGTCCATTGCAAATAATCCGATATATTCACATCGGTTGTCTTCGTTCATAGTTGAATGATCTCTTGGAAGCAACATTGTTCTTATCTGAAAGAAATATTGATTTTTTTGATTTGTATCTCAAAATTTGAAGAATATGAACAATTTTTTGAATTGCGATGTCAAGTTAAATTTGATCAAGTTGATGCTGAGTTTATGATTGTACGTGAATATATAATAGCAAGTAGATAGAAACAGACTTGAAGAATAGGAATTGTCATTGTCTTCAGGCGGACCCGATTTCCTCCAATGCATATTCTTTTTTTTTCTTCTATATTGTTAATGCCCGGAAGAAAGTATCTGAACCCCGTTTTTTATTAATTTTACATAATAAAATATACAGTACCTGGACAAAAGTTTCGGAACACTTGCTTTTGTTAATTGCGCAAAAATGTACATAATAAACATATATGAAATTTATATCATTTGCGGTTTAGATTCTTGTAAATATTTATGCAAAGTCTTGTGTGTCTAGGTTCCGTAGAACTCGAATAAACACATGAAAATGAAATTCGATTAAGTATTGGCAATCAAAAATTTTTGACATGATGTTTTTAGAAATTGTCCAAGAACCTACATAATTATATGTT